ACACTGATGACGGCCAGAAGAAAAACACTGCAGAACATGTTGGCGCACTTAAAGAAGCCAGTGAACTTGCAGAGAAAAACTCCAAAAGGCCAGTAGTCATAGAAAAAATCTCTGATTAGTGAAGTGACTCGTGTCAGGCAGAAGATCAGGTCCACTACAGCGAGATTGACCAGCCAAACGTTAGTGACATTGGGCTTCATACGGAAGCCAGCCACCCAGATGACCACAGAGTTCTCGATGGTGCCTAAGAAAATGATGATGATGAGGAAGACAATGCTGATCTTATTCACAGTGTCTTCAGTGTCCACTGTAGTGTTTGCATGGTGATTACACTTGTTGAACAATGAATGCTCTTAAAAGTACATTAGTTTGCACTTTGCAACATGATTTTCTACCACCTGATACATATCATGGTTGCATGAAAACAATGCAAAACAAAACAATATATAAAATGGCATTAGATGTATTTACACAGACTGTTTAATGCAGCTCAGGGGTGGCATGAATGCACTTAAAACAATTTTTGAAGCAAGTGACTACTGACTTGAATGGGTTTTTGATTCATTCGCTCAGCCGATATTTGGAGAAAACAGCATTCTTCCTCCTTGTCTGATATTGCTCAACTATATGTTCTACATTACATTATAAAAAGCAAAAACTCATAGAGATGGATGTCACGTCAGTGACTGCATGACAAAAATAATTTGTGGGATGAAAGCGTAAGAACTGTTTTCATTGTGAGAGTTTCACAATGAATTTGTCCAAGTTGGCAGCCCTGATTATGATACTTAAATTGCAAAGCAATTCAAAATAATCCTTACTGGTATATGGAGTAATTTAGTTGTAAAGTTAAAAATCTTAATATATTTTTATTTGAGAGTGACATAAATATGATAAATCTTGGTAACCTGTTTAGCAGGAGCGTTTATAACCCTAACAGCCCAATTGTTTTTTAAGAACAACAGTCTTTGATTATGACTGCATACACAAAACACGGCAAGACTTGATCAGAGTAGAAAAATAATGAGTGAAAATCTAAAATGAATGATAGGAACCATCAAACACTAAGAAGGACCAGGTCTGAACCACAAAACTACTGAAGCAGAAACAGCAAATCTCAATATTCACCTTGTTTCTGCAAAAACTGACCACAGAGAACTTCACAAAGCCAGAATCTATGAAGAAAAACCTTTAATCACAGACACCAATGCTAAAATATTAAAAAGATGGTGTCACGATCATAAACCTGAACAGTTGGAGCACCAAGATGAACTTCAGCATCTGCCCTGGCAGCTCAGTCAGCTGACTTGAATATTATCAAACCACTATAGATAGTTTTGGAGAGAAGAGTGAGAATGTACAATTTGCCTTTAACACATTTTCCAACCTTCTTAGAATACATCCATAAAGGGGCAAAGAGGAAGGGGGAGGAGACATGTATATACATACATCTCTCCTCCCACTTCCTGTTTGTCCTGTTTTGTCTGCAAAAGGAATAAATGATCAAATAAATGACACTAAAAAGCAGAGATGAGCTCACACTGGTGTGATTTCAAAGAACCAGACACTTGTGACCCATTCACCAAGGATTACTGCAGCAGTCAATCTGTTTTGTAAAAACACTTGTGTACAGCTAAGAACACTCACATTAATTCATCAACACATCATTAATAGTAAACATATGTATGTATGTATACAAACTACCAATTTGAAAAGCCGACGACTACAGTTGTGTTCATCTTGCAATTCTTACAAGACCAGGTGTAACCTCGTCCAATGTGCAAAATTATGAAAATTGTATCTCTTCAAGCATTTTAGAAATTCCTGTGGGCACTCAAGGCAACTTAGTCTTTGTAGTTGACTTACAAACTGGCATCATGAACAAACAGATACATGTTGTTAAACAGAAAAACCGAAGGAACATTAATACATTTATCTGTCTTGATTGTAGAATGACCTCAAATACAACTCTTCTCCATGACATCCACTCTGAGGACTAATCAAAAAGTGATTACTTAAATACAGGTTTTACCATTTTAACACAAAAGACATTTGAACTGGGAAAACATGTTGTGGCTCTTTTGCTAACTAATGTTGTAGTACTTGAGAGCGGCCTTGGTCTGGAGACCAGTCTTAAGACCATTTTTTGAAGGTCTTGGTCTTGTCTCGGTCTCAACCTTATTTGTATTCAAACTTGTCTTAGTCTCAAACTAAAATGACTTGGGATTTTATTGCAAGACCAGTCAAGACCACAACTGCGGGGATATCACTAAATTGCAGGTGCATTGTCTGATTAATTTGTCATTAAAGTGATAATGTAAAACTTACTGCTTCATATGTAATCAATAGCTTATTTCTAATATGATTTCATTTGATACTGCTTTGCCGGTCAGAATTTCACCAAAATGAATACAAACGCCCAAAAAATTCAAGGTATTATTTAAGAAAAGTACTTGTGTGAGATCTTGTTTTTATATTATAAGCAATATCACAAGAACAAGAGAGCTGATTTCACGAATATGAGCATGACTGCAAAACATGATAGTAGAAATTAATATTAAGTGAATTACATTTTAGAAATCTTTTTTTTTTCTTTGCCTATTTCTGCAAGGAAAGTTGTTCCAAACAAATCCATAGCAGAACTGTTGTGTGTTTCGGAGCAACACAGCGGCGTTTCATTACTAAACAAATCAGCTGCTTTGAAAGAATCATTAAATAATTCTGTGACTCAGTCAAGTGATTTTCCACCACATAGCCTATTGGCGGTTTTTGTCTGATATTCATATTCATTAAATTTTTCCATCATATTTCTATATTCAAAAAATGTACTTTAAAAACATTGATCTCAACAATATTTCTGCACTTGTAATTGTACCAGTTCAGATGTAGTTTCTGTGCTGCCTCTGCAGTGCAAAGATGAATTCTGTTGTTAGTGATTTCATTTGTTTTGTACCAGCTCTATATATAGTGCCTTATTATTCTAGTTGTATTTATTGATTAAATATTAGATATTTTTCAGGCAGTAAATGTGGATCTTTCAGATTAATTTTAGGAGTGCTGGTTTGGTCTTGGTCTTGACTCGGTCTCACTCTGCCTTGGTCTTGGTCTTGTCTTGGTCTTGACTACAACAGTATTGCTAACAAAGATAAATTGCAGCAGAAGCTTTTTGCATAGCCATGCATTTATTGCGCAGGTAAATATTATAAAACAAACAAAATGAAGGCTGATAATAACTTATTTTTCTCTTTCTGCCTCAGGTGGGCTTAAATACATAATCTTATTATTTACTGGACACAAACATAATCAATCATCACAATATAGATGTGCCTACTGTTGGATTAACATACATTAATTTAGATTACATAGACTATAATATTACAAATTATCTAAAATTGAATTTTACCATATATTTCTTAAAGGCTCCAAATACTGGTTAAAGCTAGACAAAAGACCAGACACTAAGGTACATACATTTTTCATTCTGTTAAATATTAATAATAAAAAATGCTTTTAAATTCTGTGGTATCTGATAGGCCTGACAAGTAAGTTTAGTTTAGTTTATTTTCTTATATAGCACATTTCTACTGCCACAAGAGCAGCCCAAAGTGCTGTACAATGCATTCAAGAAGACCAAGAAATAGAGCAAGCAAGAAATAGAGAGTAAAATCTCTTAAACTTTAGTGACAAATTTAGTATCTGCAGTCTTTGGATTAGAGCTTTCTTCCCCATTGCCTTGCTGTGAGAGACTTTGGCCTTCCTCCATAAGCGCTCTATGAAAAATCCCAGACAGGCTTTGGTTGCAGCGTCGACTAACATCCAGTCCCATGCAGAAATACAGAACCGGGTTAATGCAGCTGTTGAAATAGGCTAAGTTTGAAGACATACTCCATCCCACTTTTACTGCTACGTTGTCTTCATTCACCAACTTGACCAGCCCTAGAAAGTGGTATGGAGCCCAACATAAGAAAAAGGCACAGACCAATACAGCAAGAATCCGAAGAGGCCTCGATTTTCCAGAGAGCCGCGTTCTGCGTATCCCAACAGCAGCTAGTATGTAACAGATAAGGATGACCAGGAAAGGCAACAAGAATCCACAGATGAAACGAATGCAGTAGTAGACATACTTTGCTGAATTGTCTCCTGATTCTGCTGCTTTGTGCTGCAAACAAAATTATAAAGTCTGTCATTCAAAATGATGACACATAAACATTTACTAAATAAAATCATGCATATACATGATTATTTATATATCTGTGCAGTCATTCTGACCTCCAGCGAGCATTGGCTCAAGTTGTTCTTGCCAAGGTAGACTTGTCGGTAAACAAAGTAAGGTGAACTAAAGATCACCGCCACGATCCAAACTCCCACACTGACCACTCGAGCAGCACATAACGTCCGTCGTTCTCTGGTGAACACTGGACACCAGACGCAGAGCGCTCGATCCCCACTGATGACGGCCAGAAGAAAAACACTGCAGAACATGTTGGCATACTTGAAGAAACCATTGAACTTGCAGAGAAAAACTCCGAAAGACCAATGGTTAAAGAAAAGACTTGAGATGAGTGATATGACTCGTGTCAGGCAGAAGATTAGGTCCGCTACGGCAAGATTGACCAGCCATACGTTAGTGACATTGGGCTTCATGAGGAAGCCGGCCACCCAGATGACCACAGAGTTCCCGGTGGTGCCAAGGAGAACAATGACGTTGAGGAAGACAATACTAACCTTATTCATAATGGCCTCAATGTCCGCTGTAGTGTTTGAGAGCTCAGAGTGGGTGTGGAGGAGAAGAGTTATATTGGAGCTCATTCTACAATCAAGAGAGATAAATCGATGAATGTTATTTCAGTTTAAAAAACAGATCTGTCTTGATGTCAATTTCTAAGCTAACTTGAAAGATTAATTCACCATGGGTTCTCTCAAAAATTTCTTGAATGTTGAAAGAGATAAAAATGTTCATCATTTTGCAAGAAGATGCAATCACAATGTGTATCAGATGGCAGAAAATCCTGTTGTGCTCAAACTTTTTAAGAACACTTCTTATGTCAGATGTGTATTCAAATCATAGATACTTACAAGCATTTATTGCACTGACTGCATTGCAAAGCAATAGTAAAACCTATACAGAATTGTAGATGTAGATGATGTAGATGTTCTTACCTGTACAAATCAGCGTTTTCCCAAAACAGACTAAACCATCAGGGAACAACACTGGATGATCCTTTGTGAATGAGTCATCAGCTGTGTTTGACTATTATAAGGTCATTTTGCTATGCTGATAAATAAATCAGTTGCTCGTTCACTGACATGACTTGCCGTTGCTCTCTTCTCCCCTTTTCGGTGTAATGGATCTGGTCATTCATAAATGTCTTCACTGCAGACAAAGAGGAGAAAGGCAGGAAGAGGGAGGTGACATGAACAAAAGTGCAGATCTTTGCTTGTTTGCGTAAACACAAATGATGTAAGTGAAGTGTGGTTTTGGCAAATTCATAAATTATTCATGTATTTATATTGTATGCTCAAGTTACAAAAATTCACAACCAAAATGTAACAACAAGGTAGACTCTGGAAGAGTCTTTTGATTAGGGGGCCTGTGGAGGTACAGTCTGCCAGTTATTATTTGACATTAAACTATTTTTGTGAAACAAACAAAGCATGTGTTATAAATACAATTAATTCGACCAAAGTCAAAGTTAAAAAGCTAATGTTCAGGTAAACGTTTCATAAAAATACAGTCTTTTAAAGAAAATGTAGGCAACAGCTTTGTAAAGATTATTTTAATTAGTCCACGATTAAAATATCTCAATGTATGTAAATATTATACAAACCCGATTCCAAAAAAGTTGGAATATAGCAGTTATGTTTTGTAGGTCTGCCTACCAATTCTGTATGATTCCTATACAGAACACCATTTAAGTCTTTTGAGCTCATCTTAATAACTTGTAATATACATTTCTGCTAACTGAATCATTAATTTAATCAACTGTTCCTTATGCACCATTCACAATTAAAGTCGTTTAATAGAGGTTTACTTTTAAGACAGCTTTTTATGACATAGCCTATTTGGAAGGCAACTCATTCAAAGCTGCAGAGGAATCATATTCAAATCACTTGACTACTTGCAATCTCATATAAGTGGTTAGGTGCATATGCAAATTAATATAAAATATTTTCTATCAAAATCACAGAATATTCTGTGAAATTATTGTCAGTCTCACTTCTGAGCAATGTAGTATTTGTTCACTTTGTTATTTTGCAATATTGCTCAACCTTTAATGTTGCAGTGTCACTGCAGATGTTAGTTAAGTGTGCTCAGTAATGCCAGAGCAAAAGTTTTAAGGTTTTCAATTCACTATTTAATCACAGAAGATATCAGAATTTGAACTGAACTGAACTATTGAAATTCTAGATTTTTTTCTAATGAATAGTCATTGCATCAGACACCTTTTTTATACACTGTGTATTTATTGCAAAGGCAAATATTACAGGAATATAATGAACAATAAAAAATTAGCTCAGATTAACCCCAGTCGTCATGCAATCCCGGTCTAAAATTTGTGCCCCATATTAGGCTACAAGTAATTTCCGTTTTCTCTTCTGGCCAATGTCATCCTGTTAATTAACAAACGAACATGTGTAAGCAAAAATAGCCGATCATAAAAATGTACGATTGACACGAACATTTGTATGAAAAAATGACATATATTACTAGTATTTTGCAATATTTTCATAAAGGCTCAATCTACATATTAAAGCATTAACTTTTTATTTTGTTTGATATTAATCTAGATATTAATCTCTTAAACTTTAGTGACAAACTCAATGTCTGCAGTCTTTGGAATGGAATTACAGCTTTCTTCTCTAGTGCCTTGCCGTGAGAGACTTTGGCCTTCCTCCATAAGCGCTCTATGAAAAATCCCAGACAGGCTTTGGTTGCAGCGTCGACTAACATCCAGTCCCGTGCAGAAATACAGAACCGTGTTAATGCAGCTGTTGAAATAGGCCAATTTTGAAGCCATACTCAGTGCCACTTTTACTGCTTCATTGTCTTTATTCACCAACTTGACCAGCCCTAGAAAGTGGTATGGAGCCCAACATAAGAAAAAGGCACAGACCAATACAGCAAGAATCCGAAGATGCCTCGATTTTCCAGAGAGCCGCGTTCTGTGTATCCCAACAGCAGCTATGTAACAGATAAGGATGACCAGGAAAGGCAACAAGAATCCACAGATGAAACGAATGCAATAGTAGACATACTTTGATGAAATCCCACCCTCTGCTGCTCCTTTCTCCTGCTAATGAAATTATAAATACATAATACTAAATACAATCTTAATGCAATGTACTGAAAGTTTGTGCATGCAGTAATCTGTAAAGCCATTCTGACCTTGAATGAGCAGTGGCTCAAATTGTTCTTGTCGGGAAAGACTTGCCGGTAAACAAAGTACGGTGAACTAAAGATCACCGCCACAATCCAAACTCCCACACTGACCACACGAGCAGCACATAACGTCCGTCGTTCTCTGGTGAACACTGGATGGCAAACGCAGAGTGCTCGATCCACACTGATGACGGCCAGAAGAAAAACACTGCAGAACATGTTGGCGTACTTGAAGAAACCATTGAACTTGCAGAGAAAAACTCCGAAAGGCCAGTGGTCATAGAAAATGATTTTGGTGAGAGAAATAGCTCGTGTCAAGCAGAAGATCAGGTCCGCTACAGCGAGATTAACCAGCCAAACATTTGTGACGGTGGGTTTCATGCGGAAACCGGCCAGCCAGATGACCAAAGAGTTCCCGGTGGTGCCAAGGAGAACAATGATGGTGTAGAAGACAATGTTCACTGTCGTTTTCTCATGGTACATTGAGATTTTGGAGTTGGAGGGAAGGGAAAGAGTTGTATTGGAGGTCATTCTACAAGCAACAGATAAATCCTTAGAAGGTGCCTTTTCATATGCTTATGCACTCAACTTTGATCTTTCTACTCAATCTGTACACCATAAGCGTGCGGTTACCATGCTAGTCTCACGAGCTTCACCTCACAATTAGATAAACATGATGAGAGTTGTCTGGCAACCAAGAGGACACAGGTTATTAAACTGATAGCGTTTACTTAGAAGTCATAATAGGAACATTGATTTCAGCTATAGATTTAGAATTTCCTTGCTAACTCATTGGTAACCAGTAAAACCTTTTTTTCTTTATTACTTTTTTGGCTCCCATTACATTTAGGATGTCATTCACTCTATATATTTACAATTGAATCAATGTATTTCATTTATATTATTACATTTGATTTCAAATGAAAAATTATTTAATATTTTTCATTTAAACATTCATATTTTATACATTATTCATGCAACAAATATGATTTAATCCTTGTCCTTAATCCTGTATTGTAAAATGTCTTTCAAAATGGTTAACTAAATCTGGTGATGAATTGCTATGTTCTTACCTGCACACAGTGTCATTAGGCGTTTTTGCAATAATCAGCCCAAACTATTGGACTCAGGATAAACAGCACTGCGAAATCCTTTGTCAATATGTTCAGCACAGACTATGTTTGAGTGTTAATTGCTATCAACTGTTTTATGCTGAACAGGTTTTCTCACTGCATCTTTTGCTCAGTCATTCTAAAGTGTGCTCTTTAGCAACAAGGGAAGACAGGCAGGAAGAGGGAGGAGACGTGCACATTTTGTCTACAAATACATTCAATTCTGCAGATTTCTAAGTACAGAGAAATCACAAATCCATTTAAATTGTTAAAGTGTGTGCTATATATTTAGCTTTTGTTGTGCCACAATGTCAGGGTTGTATTTTATTTATTTATTTTGAATGAACAGAACTGCAGAAAAACAGCAAGTGTAACCTTATGTCTTATTACTAAATTCTCTAAAATGCTCAGGTTTCAGCTTGCTTGCTGAATTGCTGAAGGAAGTCACTGAAAAGTACTTTGACCAATAGCGTGCAGGCGTTGTACATAATCAACCAATCGTGGTGTGTGCATAGGCGGAAATCCCGGGGGGTCAGGGGGGACAGGACCCCCCCCCCTAAAGTGATTATTTCCTCTTTAATACAGTCCAATGCATTTTTCGATGAGTTAGCAATAATAACATTACCTGCTTGACCGACAGGGTTGCCAGGTTTTCACAACAAAACCCGCCTAATTGCTACTCAAAAGTAGCCCAAACTAAGAGCGTTTCGAGGGGACCCCCCGGTAAAATCGCGTTCTGGGGGCTAAAATACACCTTATAGGGGATGCTTCAATCTGCGGACATGAAAAACAACCCGCTGCAACAGTGATAAAGTAGCCCAATTCCATTACCGCAGACTTGGCAATACTGTGATGGATAGTAACGTCTACAACGGACACGACCGCTGATGCGGCGTGACCACAACAGCTTGACGTCGTCTAATTTGGCACAGTCTCCCTGCTGCACTAATAGTAAGGCTCTGTGTATACATGTCCTTACAAGTACAATTTTAGATGGATTATTTGTGTCCCCTTCAAAAATTGCTCTTGAGATATTTTTTTTAAAAAGTGACGTGATGTGGCCATGTATGGTGACCCATACTTGGAATTAGTGCTCTGCATTTAACACATCCAAAGTGCACATACACCCGGAGCAGTGGGCAGCAATTTATGCTGCGGCACCCGGGGAGCAGTTGGGGGTTCAGTGCTTTGCTCAAGGGCACCTCAGTCGTGGTATTGAAGGTGGGAGAGAGCACTGTACATTCACTCCCCCCACCTACAATCCCTGCCAGTATGAGACTCGAACCCACAACCTTTGGGTTACGAGTCCGACTCTCTAACCATTAGGCCACGACTTCCCCTGTTTATTGTCCCCTCCAACTGTTAGATGAAATTTAAGCCCCTGGGTGTGTGAGAAGGTGGGATCTACAGAGCACAATCGAAGCAATGCAAATACATGTACTGTATATATAATGTATAAGCTTGTCAATGGGAAAACAAAGATAAAATACGGACATTTTAAGTAATTTAGAAATCCCAGCTAGGACATGTCCAGGAAAAAGAGGACCTTTATGGTCACCCTAATTAAGTAAATAAATACATAATAAAAAATAATAATAATTCTACATAATAATACATAATCTAAGTAGGCTTACGTACATAATAACAGAATGTGAATTATTCAGAACTGTAGACACGCAGTCAAGATTTTGCAGTGATTATGACAAAATGTATGTAACATTATGCAACAAGGACTATGA